GTCTCACCTAGATAAAAGTTGCTGTGTTTCACCATAGTACATAGCAGTAGATAGCTGGCACACTTTTTATCACCTACCTCATCAAACCTCAGGAAAGTTGAACTTCTCTATTTTCAGTACACTCATTTAAAATAATCATGACCTCGACTACCAGATTTTCTCTGTACCTTATACAACTTCGTTGCATCGGAAGTTGGTCATAAACTACGGCAGAATTAATATTAGTTTCACATATTTGAATTTCTGAACTGGGGCAAAGAAGGAACATGCCAATGCTAAAGTCTAATTAAATTCATGCTCATGCATAATTGCAGTCGTAAAGAGATGCAGGGAGGATAGTTTCGATAATAATGCTAGAGTTGTGTAGAATATGACTGGCAATTCTGATTTTACCGTAGAGAAGACTGCCGAAAGTGAAGTAAATCAGTATATTATCACAACGTTTTACTTCTTATGTTTCTATTATCTATATGCTGGTGAGAAAAGTTTAAATGTGTGACATATGTGAAGTACCGAAACTGCTATAGAATGATAACAAAACCAAAACCTGAACATTTTTATTACCATCAAAAGTAGGTATACTAAGTGATATATAAATCCGAACACCCAGTTTAAATGGTTTTATTTTAATAAAAGTTGGTGAATGTATTTATCTCACTGTAAATAACAAGTGAAAAAATTTTATCAGTTGGACATTCCGGTTTTTATACTGCTTTTTTTTAATTCACTAACGCTCTAAAAATGAATATTTCAGCCGCAGTAAAGAATCAACGTTGGCCGGATTTTGGTTCTTGACATCCTTTACGATCGGTTACGATGCCTAGAGTACGGAGACCTGTACGATTTCGTCAACTTAGTGAGTTTGATAGGGGCCGTATAGTGGGACTTCGGGAAGCTGGACTTTCTTTTCGGGCAATTGCAATTAGAGTGCAAAGAAGTGTAGACACCGTGGTTAGATGTTGTCAGGCATGGCTTCGAGAAGGCCGTACGCAAAGAGCAAGGGGCACTGGACGCCGCCGTAGAACAACAGACCGTGAAGATCGCCGCCTAAGATTATTGGCCTTAAGGGACCGTTTCTCCACTACCAGGTCCATTGCAAATGAATGGTTTGCAGAACACGGAAGACCTATTGGCATGCGAAGTGTTTACCGACGAATGAGAAGTTTTGGCTTGTTTTCATACCGGCCACACTGGGTCCTCCCTTTAACTCGAGAACACCGACGTAATCGCCTTCAGTGGTGCAGACAACGGTCACTCTGGGATCAGGAATGGAACAGTATTGTCTTTAGTGACGAATCTCGATTTTGTTTAGGCATGCACGATGATCGTGTCATGGTTAGAAGGCGACGTGGTGAAAGGAGGAATCCACAGTTTTTTGTTGAAAGACAGGTTCATCACACTGTTGGAGTTATGGTTTGGGGTGCTATAGCTTATGGTTCCAGGTCACCTTTAATCTTCATCAGCGGTAACATGAACGCGCAGCGTTATATCCTCGAAGTTCTAGAACCCCATCTTTTACCCTATCTTGACACCCTGGAAGATCCAACTTTCCAACAAGATAATGCCCGACCACATGTGGCAAGAGTCACAATAGACTTCTTTCAACATAATGATGTCACATTGTTACCATGGCCACCAAGATCTCCCGACTTATCCCCAATTAAGCACGTGTGGGATATGATGGGTAGGAGATTGCTCAATTTGCAACGTCCTCCTCAGACTCTAGAAGCACTTCGAGAGGAGTTGGTGGTTGCCTGGAATGAGTTACCACAGGAGGACATTGACCACCTGATCAGAAGCATGCCTAGGCGCGTTGGAGAATGCGTAGCACATCAGGGTGCATCCACACATTATTAAAGGTCAAAGGGCTTTAAAGCAGTGCAATCATTTTGAAATTTTTATCATTTACTTATTACACTAACTCAAAAATACATCTCTGTAACTAGTGCATACGTAGGTATTTTAACTCGTTCTTGATGGCTACTTAGGTATCCGTATAAGAAGCTAATGGTACTGTCACTCTGACGAAAAAAGATTTCAACAACTCTTTTCGCTTATCTATTTAATAAATATCTTACTATCCAATCGGCAATGCCTTTTTTCAGCGTCTACCTTTATAGGAGTATCACTATTTACTACTGAAATACACCATGCACTAGTACCTAAAGCTTCTAGAACGAGAAAGCGGAAAGCAGAGGAAATTAATAAGGAGTGCGTCCAAAGATATCGCCACACTACTGAAAATACTCCAAGACAGCATATATATTAGATAATACTTCAAATAACGAATGATATATATCCAACTAGTTCATTAGTAGCGAAACGTATCACAACTGTCAATACAATAAAATGAACACGAATTTAGCGCTTACTGCTAAAAACTGCTTTTGCCTCCAAATTTTATATGCGCAGTAGGCAGTGTGGGTGACAAATTTGTCTTGAATATCAAAACATCTAACATCCAAGTAATACGGTTCACTGTGGTATCCCTTCACGAGTAGTTATATATTCAGGCGATATCTTTGATGGAGTACCATTTTATTGAAGATGAGTGATATGTCACAGAAGACGAGAAATATGACATGATTAGACCAGGCACCAGAAGATTTGTAGACCAATTATTATTAGTGCATACCGAATGCTCTGATTTGTCTGATTTGTTGTGTTGCTAATATCACTTCTAAGCTGCAAATACTTTTTCTATTATATTAACTTAATATTGCTACCAGAGTATTTATTTACTACGTAACTTCAAGAGGCTTATCGCTAAATTGTCTTGTCTGTCTTAAGACGGTCTAATGAATCCTCCCAACGGGCAACATTGTTGCAAGCTATGACAACTATATCCCAAACATCATGAGCATATTGCAAGGTATAGCCCAAGTATACAGGGTTTGTCTGGAAAGTAATAGGATTCATTTTCTTCCGCCATGACTTTACTTCGGAGCGTGCGCGTACCGACTGGATTCGGTAGAGGGCGTTCCTAGCTAACGAATGAGCGGCTGGTCAATTGTCTCCGAGCACTTGGAGAGTCACGACAGGCATTTTCGCGCGACGTGTTTCTGTGAGTGGTGCAAGCCGAAAATGCAGCGTTCGTTAGAGCAGAGGTACGCAATTAAATTCTGTGTGAAACTCGGTAAATTTGCGACAGAGACGTTTGATATGATAAAGCAGGCTTATCCAGGTGTTGCTTTAGCAAGAAGTGGTGTGTTTCGGTGGCACCAGGCCTTTTTGGAGGGCCGGGAAGAGGTCGCTGATGAAGACCGTGCTGGAAGACATTCGACTTCGAAAAACACCGATAATGTGACTCGTGTGCGTAAAGTTTTGAAGTCAGACCGTCGACTAAGTATTCGTTTAATTGCCCAGATGTTAAATTTACCAAAATCTGTGGTTCATGACATTGTGACACACCATTTGGTGTGCGCGAAGATGGTCCCAAAAGTGCTCACTGACGACCAGAAATTGCGGCGAGTGAAGAGCCAAGAAAATTTGAACATGTGTGAAAGTGACCCCCAATTTTTGAATAACGTAATCACAGGTGTCGAATCGTGGATCTTTGAGTATGAGCCCGAGACAGAGAGGCAATCTTCCGAGTGGCACCCGACGGCATCTCCACGCCCAAAAAAGGGAAGAATGAGCAAATCCAAAGTGAAAACGATGTTCATTGTCTTTTTTGACATCAAAGGCATCGTCCACCATGAATTTGTTCCTCCTGGACAAACCGTCAACGCCAAGTTTTACGTGGAAGTGCTCAGGAGACTCAAACGAAGGGTCAGTCGGGTCCGACAAGACATCGCAGCCGACTGGAAGTTGCACCACGACAACGCCCCGGCTCACACCGTCTTTCTTGTGAACAGCTACCTGACCAAGGCCGGCATCCCAACGCTTCCACAGCCGCCCTACAGCCCAGATGTGACCACCCCGGACTTTTTTTTGTTTCCTCGCCTGAAAAGGCCGATGAAAGGCAAGCATTTTGAGACGACAGAGGGGATCCAAGCAGCATGCACCGCGGCTCTCAAGGCTATTCCGGAGAATGCCTTCCGTGACGCCTTCAATGCTTGGAAATCGCGCTGGCAGCGCTGCATCGACGCAGAAGGAGCCTATTTTGAAAGTTTTTGAAGAATTGTAACGATTGGCTCAATAAATGTTTTTAAATCGACTCAGTCCTATTACTTTCCGGACAAACCCTGTATATCTTGGCTATATCAGCTATATTTTGGTAATATTGTCTACAAAGTGTATACACATACACTCTTCAGAATTTGTTATAAGAAATGCTACATAAGCAGCCAAGAATGACCTACTCACATTACATTACATTTAGTACGATTCCTGACACCAATTTTGGAAAATAGATCAAAAATGTCAAACCTGTGTAGCAACATAGTGGCCACTTTTTTGTAGTTAGATAATGCAGTGGAAATATTGTCCGTTTAGAGGCTCCAAAATAGTTAAAAGCGTTTGATAGTCAAGTAAAAAATGGAAAATGGTAGCTTAATTTTCATATGGCACTGCTATCGAGCTGTCTTTGTGTAAGTGCACGTGCATTTCACGATACCCAAAGACACATGCCGCGTTAACAGTGGCGTACGATACGAAGTTCAACTCTGTTTCATTTTTGTACCTCACAACAGATAGCACTCAAACGTGGATGTAACTAAAACACTTGACGATGAACCGTTTTGAAGCTTAGAGGTAAATGAAGTAATTTTATTGTTAGTAGAGCTACAGGAACACTGTTTTTTGATGGACGTGATTAATAAGACAGCATAGGTTATCAAATATGGATTCAACGAATGGTGGCCAATCAAATTTTTAATAGTAAAATTTGCTGAAAACGCAAAACGCCGCGTTTTTCTGTGGGTGGGGAACACGTTTCGATGTAGAATTTCGTACGCGGACAATTTTGGGGGGTTGGCGCCTGGTGCATAAAAAATGAGACAAACAAAGAAGAGATGACAGAAAAAGAGAATTCGAGAAGAGTTATGAGAGGTACTCACGCCGGTAGGTCTCCGACAGCGGCTCCACTGTGAGCAGCGGCAGGCAGAGCAGCAACGGCAACACAAGATTGATACACGTCACAAAAATCATCATCGCATCGTCAATCAACAAACATCACCGTACACGTGTCCAAAGATATGCCCAGACCAACGAATAATGAATTTCCAACTAAGAGGAAATTGATTATACCCTAACATCATTTGTTTAGCTTCCTAGTTTTATCTCGTGATGGGAGCCGTTGATCTTCAAGATGTTGGTAGCTAAACAAAAATTACTACCTAAGCTAACAATTTCTAGGTATCAACTTGCCACGTCTCTACATATTTGTTAAAGTGGTGCTTTTTGTCCCTGATTTTGGAGAAACCGTATTTAATTAAAAAAAACTGATGACCTAACGGCTGGCAATTTGTTTTGTTTTCAATCTAGATATACATAGTTGGGATACTTTCAACCCTTATTTATATATTATTATTATTAGAAAAAGCTTTATCTGATCAACAAATCTTATAAGCCGTATACAGGTAGCTAGTTTCGTTGCACATTTGAGTTGGCCCAGTGTTCATATTCCGCCAAAATCAAGGAAGAATAGTGCTTCATTAACACTACGTTTATATGATAATATACACTGTAAAATTCATTGTTTTGGACATATCTTGCGTGTACGCATACCCTGTACTCAGGTTCTTTAGTTACCGGTTTTGTTTTTAAGAATCAGTATTTACCAATTCCATATACCCAAACGATAAAGGGACTGGTAATTAGAAAACCTGTATTTACTGTATGCATGTACTAACGTGCCAATCAACGGCAACTTACGCACGTGCACAACACAGTTAATCATTGTCACTAATAAATCACCATTAAAATAACAAACCTTCATTTTATCACCACTAATTTCACTGGTAATATTTGTATATGATCTGCATACAATCAATTAGCTAAATCCAGATGCATCTACCAATAACGCGCTGCCTCTAACTTTGCACCATTGTCCGTATATTGTGACTGTGGTAATTTCTTATTTGAACAGCTGAGGGTATTTATGACTGATCTTAAATTCATAAACTCCCAAATTTCCAATTTGGTGCTGGCATTACGTACTTCCACCCCCATATAAGTCCAATGAGGTACCTGCTTAATAATTGTCTACACAAAGAATATTAGAACATAGTGTCTGAATAACTGCAGATAATGTATGTCCTCTGTGTGCGCAGTCACAACATTTGAGAAGCCTAGACTAGAACTGATGGAGCTGCATCCAATACCAAAGAAGCTATAGTATATATATATTAAGTACAACTGTATAAGCTGCAATGTCATCTGCCTCACATGGCTCTATTTAACTAAGCACCCTGTTGTGCCTCATTTTAACTATTCAATATTCTGGCAATTTTTCAATGAGTTTTCAGATTATTACAATAAAGCCTCTACGACCAAAGGTTGTCATACATAAACTTCTTATCATTCCTCAAGTTGTAAAACATGAATAACTAAGAGATGTAACTTTCATCGCCAAGACACTGACAGTCTGCAGGTAATGTCGAAGATGCAGAGAAACATATTCACATACCTAGATAAAAAAAACTATTTAGGGAACATTGGCTAGAATTAGTGTTGCCAGTAAGTACAAGCAGCAAAGTACAACAGACTTTCAGGTCGTAGTGCTCCCAGATACTTAGTATGGAAGACTCCTGCAAAGTAAAAGTTATGCTACACTATTTTTCCCTTAAAGTCGTTTATACGTTTTATTCAATACTCTGACAACTTCTCAGTCTGGTTTGTACAATAAAAGTTCCCTTGTTGAAAGGTCGCCCCACATGAACTTCTTTTTCATCCCTTCAAATTGTAAAACATGAACAACACACAGTGTGTAAGAGATGTAATCGAACCCAAAGCAGTGAACCTTCATGGCCATAACGACCGATAGACGTTTCCCCTTCCTTCCGTAATAAAATCTCCGAGAAACAAACGGGTGTCGCTTCCAGGTTTATAGTTTGAGTGCCCCGCCCTCCCTTTTTTCTCAGCGCTCTTGTCGCTGAAATTGCCATCGAAAAATTCGTCGTTTCGGGAGCCTTTGTCGCGCTGAAAAAATAGGACCTATGATGAGCCATAGATACAAGTTCGTTGACATAAGCGGGGATGAAAATTTTACATTTCAAAGGATAATGGAATGAAGTGTTGTCTCTAGAAATATGTAACTGGGATTATGGTCGAGGTATCTCCGAGCGAGGACACTTAATTCTACACCAGTAAAGAAAAGGTGCCCAAAATCTTGTCACAACGATAAGGTACCAGATGGGCGAAAAGGGCGTGAAAAAGTGACATCATGGAACAAAATGCTTTTGCATTTCAGGCTTCGGTTTGAGTACCGGATCATCTCTCTTAAAACAACTTGGTCACTTCAAAAAAATTAAAACTACTTATTCAAAGCTTTGATCTTTAACAGCGTGAAAACTGTCCATTGTCGAACTATGTGCAAGGTGGTGGCTTTTAATCGGGAGATCACACTATACAACATATTGCACGCTTAGCGTTAACTACTACGCCACCGGGCTGTGTCGTATTCTTTGGAAATATTTAGCTATTTGGCCCTTATGCATCATGGTGCACTTAATGGATCTCTTCATAGCTCGACGCATTTTTTGATATCCACACACTACGTATGTTATTTGAATTTATAAAAAAGTATTTCCCGACTTTCTACTTGTAATCTAGGACAGGAATAACAAGCACTGTGTAGAAAAATGAAAGATTCATCTAAATTCGTACAGTCAGTAGTAGCTTTCTGCGATTTTCACTTTCCTATTTCAGCCCCTCAAAGGAGTGAAATAGCACGGCAGTTAAGAAACACATGCCTCTATAGCTAACCCACAAAACGCATCGTTTTTATTTATTGTAAAAGGTATTGAGAAAGTAATGTTAAAAACTGTTAAAGGGATTCAATTTTTTTATGAAGGTTAATTCGGTGTTGAGTTTGCTCGATTCTAAATGGGTCAAAACATTCACGTCTGTCCGCATTTTGAGTGCCCCTTCACTCCTCACCTTCTTTAACCTCTAAAATGATACTTAATTTGAGTCCTAGTAGATTTTTCATGCATTACCCACTAGCTATTTTATTGGCGGTGGCCACTTTTGGCTTTTTATCTATTGTTAGAAAATCTAAAATACGAATTCTCATATTCTGAGAAAGGAAATTGGTCGTAAAATCAGAAACCCAGTATGTAACTAATTGATTGTAATAAGGTATTTGTTCGAATGAAGGTTTGTCATCAATCTATCAAACACACATTAACCATACTGTACATTATAATTTAATATTAACATCAACAGATCGTTCTATTTTGCAATCACAAAATACGACTAAATGCTTTATACTAGACTCCAGTCTGTATGCCTCGATGTTTCAAAAATCATGGTCTGATATGCTTAACTTTTTTTTATACCGAATCAGCTCCGCAGGCAGAATCCTAAATTCCAGGGCACTGCGGCTGACATGATGAGCTTACAGAAACTTTGTTAGTCCGATCTTTGCAGATGCACAAGAGTTATAGCGCTCAGATATATTTTATAAGTTTTGGCAATTATGTATATCTTATATATATATATATATATATATATATATATATATAGGTGAAAATTAAAGCTTCCGCCTTTTGTTGGGTACTTCGACAAAATTTAAGCAAGGAGGACTCTTTATACTTTTTTAATCTCTCTAGCATTCGGTGGTCTTTGCCATCATCATCAGGAGCTGCAATTACATTGAGAAAAGTAACAACAATTGTGCAAAATGAATTTAAATTAACTTACAGTAGAATGCGAGGATGTTGCGAAATGTTATACAACTCTTACTGATATTATTTACATTTGGTTTAAAATTTTGACATTCATCTAAAGTTACGCCCAAGTTTTTCACTCGACATTTAGTTTTACCTTAAAATTTCTTTTGGCATCACTTCTAAATAGTTTTGGTGAAAAAATGATGACTTTCGATTTTAAAGGGTTCAACTGAAGGTTATGATTTTTTGCATACATACTTATAGATGTTATATCTTCATTTACCTCAGATTTAGCATTTCTAATGTCGTGATTATGGAAATGACTGTATATCTGTGAATCGTCGGCAAAGAATTGGATAATACAACTTTTAACAATTGAGTGGAGATCAGAAATATACAAAATGAATAGGAGTGGCCCAAGTACAGACCCTTGAGGCTCTCCGGAGGAAATGAGGCACTTTGAAGATAGAATCATGTCAATGTGTACCCTTTAATATCGATTTTCTAAGAAGCTCTGAATCATTTCTGAGGTAGAATCAGAAAAACCAAAATATTTACATTTGGCTACTAGAAGACGATGTCTTAGAGAAGTCAAGAAGAACTAATGATGTGATCATATGTTGATCCCAGGCTCTAGCAATGTTATCGGTTAAGTCTAGTAGGGCACCTGCAGTGTTATATCCTTTTCGATAGCCGCATTGTTTGGGAGGCACAATTTTATGTTTAGAGAGATAATCGTAAATTTGGGCGTACATTGCTTTTTCTAATAATTTGGACAATACAGGTAAAATACTAAATGGTCTTAAATCAGAATATAATTTTGGTTTACTTATTTTAGCTAGAGGTAACACTAATGCTTCTTTCCATGATTCTGGAAGGAATCCCCTCTCTAAACAGGTATTTATGTGTAAAATGTGACCTGAAATCGCAAAAAAGCATTGTTTTAGCATTCTTAGTGACACGCCATCAGTTCTCAAGGCATTCGATTTGAGAGACTGGAACATCGATTTTAAATGACTCATGTCTATTGGTTTAAATATGAATCGATCATATGTGTCATGGCGCTTCTGTCAGCTACGATACCACTTCATATGGAAGAACGCCTAAAGTCCCTCCCCATTATACAATGGCGTGGGGAAACACCCCTAACACAAGTTGTTTTAAACATGTTTCTTGAACGCATGAAAAAACGTGTGTATATGGTCAACTAATACTCTCAACCCAAGTAAACTAGGAACTTCAACTCTGTT